AAACGGGGTGAAGCTATAGTATTAAAAGCACATAAACATCCTGAAGGTCGCTATCTAGCTGCTGTTCTACGTCATTTTTTGATTGTATGTGGTTATAATGTTATAGACAGACCTTTTGAGTTCCTCATATCTCGCATAATGTTCATTACTCCATTAAGTAGACTAATAAAGCCTGAGATTGTGTTTCTAGGGGATTGCAATTGACTTCTAACAGATCTAGCAGATTCTGTAGTGCATTTACGAGTCACAATCTGCCTTTAATGTTATAGCCAGAAGTTATAATAAATATTTAAGGACTAAAAATTCATAGCAATCAAAGCACAAGCAGTATTTAACATAAAGAGACTGTTTCGGGTCAGTGCACACATGTAAAACACTTTGCAGGCTTGTTTGTTGTTGTTACTTTTATGGGAGAAACAAAGCCATTGGAAACTTTGAATCAAACTTTGAATCTTTACAGCAAACGCTGGTCAAAACGCTGTGAAGACAAATGCATAAAAACACCTTTTACAAACCAATTGCAAATGTTTAAAATAGGGCTGTCAAACGATTAATCGTGATTAATCGCATACAAAATAAAAGTTTGTGTTTACATAATATATGTGGGTGCACTGTGTATCATTATTTTTTATATATATAAATACACACATGCTTATATATTTAAGAAATATTTTAATGCATACACTGTATTTAGATTTATAAATAATTTATATCAATATTTTACATATAAATAATATTTTTTTCTTAAATATACATGCATGTGTGTGTATTTATATATGTACACAAAATACATGTATACAAAATACATATACATTTTATTTTGGATGCGATTAATCACGATTTATCATTTGACAGCCCTAATTTAAATATGATTTTTGTGATCATAGATGAGTTTTAAGGGATTAAATGAAAGAAATACACACACATGCATGTATATTTAAGAAAAAAATATTATTTATATGTAAAATATTTCTATAAATTATATATAAATCTAAATACATTACAAGATTTTTTTTCCTGATCCTTTCTTTTTTTCGTTCATGGAAATAAAGTAGTATGTTGTAAAACGGCATGAACGAATAAATAAATAAATAAATAAATACAGTAAATGCATTAAAATATTTCTTAAATATACAAGCATGTGTAAATATATACATATATATATATATATATACAGTGCACCCACATATATTATGTAAACACAAACTTTTATTTTGGATGCGATTAATCGTGATTAATTGTTTGACAGCCCTAGTTAAAATGCAAGTCTAATATCGTACGTGCAATTAACACAATCATCAAATACCATTAAATTCAGTGTCTGTAAAATGCATGTTAAGTTATTAAATTCTACAGTTATTTGTTTTATGGAGACCAATAATAGAATGCTAGAAAACTCCACCTAGAATACCCTAGCAACCACCCAGAACACCATAGCAACCGACTAGAAACACCCTACAACTTTTCCAAAGTAACACATATCATCATGCAAGTAAATGCACATATTTTGCAGATCTCATCTCAGAGAAACAGTTGGTTGGAAAATAACATTCATTCATAAACCTGCATATACTGTAGCCTTTCTATGAATCCATCTTTTGGGAGCGGGAAAGCGTCCGCGCTCTCGCCCGTGGCGTGTGATTTGAGTCCAGGCAGTGGGGTGAAATTGACTGTTACAATAAACCGCGAGAAGTGCCTCTTCTCTCAGAGAAAGCATTGTGGGTCTCTGAATTATTCATGCTTGCTTTATTGCAGATTGGCTCAAAGAGAAAAGTTAGCATGCAAGAGTCTTCGGCACAAGGCTCACAAAAACTGGCGACAGACTCCGCATATAACAAGCTGATTAATTAGATTTAGAGCGTACACTTTCCTACCTAAAGTGAAGGTATGAAGAGACCTTGAAGAGACTAAAATCAGACCGTTTCCTTGCTTAAATATGCAGCCGTTTGATGCACACTTGCATTAACTTGATTTAAACAGTTTTTTATGTTCATTTGATTAACATTCGAAAGTTCGAGGTCAAAACACTTTTTTTTCAGCAAGGCTGCGTTTGATTCATTAAAAGTGAAGTCTTTTATGTTACAGAATATTTATTTTTGTTACAAATATACTTTTGAACACACTATTCATCGAAGAATCACATATTCCACAGGAAAATATATATATATATATATATTAGGGCTGTGCAAAAATTAATTGCGATTAATCGCATCCAAAATAAAAGTCTGTTTACATAATATATTTGTGTGTGCTGTATATACTAATTTTGTACATATAAATACACACACATGCATGTATATATTTAAGAAAATGTGTTATTCATATATAAAATATTTATATTTAAATAATATAGATTATATATATATATATATATATATATATATATATATATATATATATATATATAATTTAAGCGCAACTAATTCTTAAATATATACATGCATGCATAGGTATTTATACAAAATAATTATATACAGCACACAGAAATATATTATGTAAAGAGAGACATTTATTTTGGATGTGATTAATCGCAATTATTTTTTGCACAGCCCTAATATATATATATATATATATATATATATATATATATATGTAACGATAGGTGAACCAACCATTCTTAACCTTTTGATGCATATTTTTGCATTGCATATTTTTAGCATTGCATATTTTTTCATTGCATATTTTTAATGCATACTTATTCTTTCTTTTTTTTTTTTTGACATGGAGTTTACAATGTATGGTTTGTTGACTGGATGAAAATAACAAAACGATGTTCTCTTGCATTAGAAAATGAATGCAAAGGCAAGTAGAGGTCCTGCGGTTTAATGAGCGCTGCATGTGCGGCGAGAGAAGAGTCCTCTATTGAATGAGCAAACAGACGTCTTCTGTTTAATTCCAGCTAAATCAATGCAGATGACTTCAGACGTCACTTAGCCCAATTAGTGGAGCCGAGGAAGTGTGTGGTGGTGTGGGGATCGATCCGCCAATGGGATTACAACACCTGACTCGATGCTCGCTGTCGCCACGTCTACTTATTAGTCATGATGTGTAGCGTGGGGAAACTGTCATATCTGACATCGGGTGGTGAAATGGGCTCCAGGACAGACTTGCTGACAGTCCTGACAAGCTAACTTTCCTGCTAATGCTGTCAGATCAGTGCGTCGCTGTTCTGCAAGCACACTCAATTTAAGGGTTTGAAGGGACATTTATGACGAAAAATGAAATGAATTCGCTTTTGGCAGAACTATCCTCAGGCTACGTTTACATTGACCCGGATAACCCGTTTAAAAATGCTCTCTGTCCACACCAGCACGCTAAATTCACATTTACTGCTCTAAAACCTCACTGAGATACAGACGGAAACTAGAGTTATCACGCAATTCTTTTGGCAGGATAGTTTAATTTATGAAGAGTGTGTGAAGTAATATTTGAGCAACTGTGTGAAAGTGAACAGCACAATATACCGGTATAAACATGAATATCTATTGAAACAATATGCGTCACATGACGAAATTTACGCCATCATTTTTAAATACGGGTGAAACTCGAAAAAATATAATATGGTGCAAAAGTTCATTTGTTTCAGTAATTCAACTCAAAAGGTGAAACTAATATGTTATATAGACTCATTACATGCAAAGTGAGATATTTCAAGCCTTGATTTGTTATAATTATGATGATTATGGATTACAGATATGAAAACCGTTGGGGTTTTCATAAGCTGTAAGCCATAATCATCAAAATTACAGTCCACACTATCAGACACGGAAACAGAATTTTCACATTTATCCACTTTGGAGAGTGTTTTCTAAGATTGTCACTGTGGAAAAAATACCAAAATGCAGAGAAAAAGATGCGTTTTTAAACTAAACATATTATTGCACTGCAGAAAATGCTTTTCTTACTCAGTATTTTTGTCTTGTTTCCAGTTTAAATATCTAAAAATTCATAAATCAAGATGCATTTACTAAAGTAATACAATGCAATTTACTAAAGTAAAACAGATTTTTATTATTAATAATAAAATAAATAATAATAAATAAAATTTTTATTATTTTATTATTTTATTATTATTATAGATTTTTGATTATTTTTAAGAAAAATAACAGTGTTAACAATTTTAATATTATTATAATATATTTTTAAAGAAAAAGATATTTTTAAGAAAAATAACAATTTTAACAATTTTAAAAATAACAGTATATTTTAAGAAAAAATATTTTCAAGAAAAACTAAGAAAATAATCTTAATTCAAACAGATATTATTATTATTATTTCTAGAATTTAATTATTTTTAAGAAAAATAACAATTTTAAGAATTTTAACAATAAATTCATTTTAAGAATTTTTTTTTCTTTTTTTAAGAAATTTTTTTAAGGAAAACTAAGAAAAATAATCTTAATTCAAACAGATATTATTATTTTATTTTCTAGATTTTAGATTATTTTTAAGAAAAATAACAATTTTAACAATAGCGATAAAACATTAAGAAAATTTTTTTTCTTCAATTTTTTTTTAAGAAAAAATATTTTAAGAAAAACTTAGAAAATTAATCTTAAAACAAAAAGATATTATTATTTTTATTTTCTAGATTTTAGATTATTTTTTAAGAAAAATGACTATTTTTTACAATAGCATAATTTTAACAATATATAAAAATTATATAATTTTAATAGCAATAAAAAATAAGAAAAAATGTTTTGTTGTTTTTTTTAAGAAAAATAATCTCAATTCAAACAAAAAAAAATAAAATATATATATATATATATATATATATTTTTTTTTATTTTTTTTTTCGTTTTGTAGATTTTAGATTATTTTTCTTACCCCCATGACATATAATTTAACTTTTTATAGGCAAAAAAAAAAACTCACTTAATTATAATTTCCCCCCCCCCCCCCCCCCCCCCCCCCCCAGAAAACACAACTTAATAACGTATGGTATCTCACTAAGTTTTGAATATGATGTTTGCAGTGTGTGCACACGGCCTCAGTGTTACCTGAGTTCTCGAAGTCGCTGTAAGACGCTTCCCAAGTCTCCGACATGCCGATGAGCGTGTTCTCCATGATCTGGAGGTCCGTCGTGGGACAGTTGCATTGTGGGAACTCGTCGGCACACTGGCAGATGCACTGGCTGTTCTGGCAGACGTATTCCCCCTCCCCGTTACACATGATGTAGCTGAGAGCCGACTGGACGAACTTCTCCTGCAGGTATTCGGGGAAAATGACCTGCAAACCTGAAAACGGGAAAGAGAATCAATGTTAAAGTCATTACCCAGATCCAGAGGTACTATTGATTTCACATCAGCGGGCAACAGGTAGCGAGTGCTTCGTGTAGTCGATGACAGAACTTTCTTTATTTCACACCGAGGCCCTGCGTGGGGATCGCATCTGCAGTTTTATCTCCATCCCGACGCTGACAGCGAATGGTGTTTTGCTGTGGAAAGTTCTGCCGGAGGTCCACTTGACTTTGAACTGTCCCTCGGAGTGGGAGGACTTTACATAATGGAATAAAACGGAGGAGTGATTGATGGATTCTGTCCTGATCGGCTACGGCTTATTTACCAGGGCTGTCATAATATCCTCTGCTCTCTCTCTGTGTGTGTGTGTGTGTGCTGATGCCATATAATAAACGTATCTCACGCTTGTGCTCCAGATGTGAATGATTCCTTGAATCATGTCTGTAAGAGACTGACCAGAACACACTCGTGACCCGGCCATAAACACTCAGAAAGCCTACTAAAGCTTCATCAATGTCTTGATTTTCTGGGTTTTTGTGCTGGTTCCTCATTTCATATCTCATATACGGTTGATAGAAACCATTACTTGCTCCCTTGAATTGATTTCCTGGGATTTTTAACCCTTATAATGGTATTATTTCTAACTTTGTTGGGTGTTTGTGTTTAGTGTTAAATTATTGCATTTCATCAATACGTTCAATTAGAACAATAAAACACTATAGGGCTGTTACCAGTCAAATTAAATCAGTGCCTCAGTAACTCTGAAGCTCCAGTCGCACACACACACAGAGACATTACGTTACGACTGTGTGTGTATAGCAGTTCGTCAAGGGGAAATCTTAATTACACTCTTACTTTGTGCTATCAAATTAGTTTTCAGACTAGACTTGGCAGTTTCTGCAACCAATTCAGCTTTTCTCTGCCAAAAAAAAAGCTTTTCTTACTTTGTATTTGTGTCTCGTTTCCAGTCCAAATATTTAAAAATTCTTGAATCAAGATGCATTTACTAGATGAGTAAAATATCATAAGATATTATGTCCTGTTTTTCGGGGGATTAATCCAAATTAAGCTAGTTTATGCTTAAAAAGGCTATATCATCTGCCAACGGGGTAAGAAAAAATCATCTTGATTCAAACAGAAACAACATTATTTTTCTGACCCTATTGGCAGATCATTTTGCTTGTTTTAAGCAAGAACTCACTTGCTTTTATTTATTTCCCCAGAAAACATGACGTGTAATTTTACTCATCTGGTAATTGCATCTTGATTTAAGAAATGTTTGAAATTTGGACTGGAAACGAGGCAAAAATACTAAGTAAGAAAAGCATTTTTTTTTTTTTTTTGCTTAAAAGTGTAGTTAATTTAAAGTCTGACTGGAATTTCTTAGAAATATTATTTTGATTTATAACCTTGAACAGTCGCTTAGCTTCAGCTTTTCTAAAAGACGATTTTATCTTTTGTCGGATGATTAATTGAAGGTATATTCAACATTATGATGCTAAGATGTGGTCACTGTCCATTTACATACACCCACACCTCATTCTCAATACTGCGCTTTCTGTGTTTGGACTTTACATTAAGTAATTGTAGAAAACTGCCCCGAGCTCGTCTCTGCACATGCATCCTATATTTTGCTCCTTTATAATATGTAATTATATATATATATATATATTCTTAAGAAAAACTAAGAAAAATAATCTTAATTCAAACATATATTATTATTCTTTTTATTTTCTAGATTTTAGATTAGTTTTAAGAAAAAATCATAATTTTAAAAATAAAATTAAAAAACAATTAAAAAAATATGTTTTTTCTTTTTTGAGAAAAAAATATTTTTTAAAAAAACTAAGAAAAATAATAATCTTAAATCAAACAGATAATATTGTTTTTATTTTCTAGATTTTAGATTATTTTTCAGAAAAACAATTTTAACAAAAAAATAAGAACTGTTTTTTTTTTCTTTTTTAAGAAAAAAATATTTCTAAGAAAATAAAATCTCAAATCAAACAGATAATATTATTTTTATTTTCTAGATTTTAGATTATTTTCAAGAAAAACAACAATTTTAACAATAAAAAAATTAAGAAAATATTTTTGTCTTTTAAAAGAAAAAATATTTTTTAAGAAAAACTAAAAAAATAATCTCAAATCAAACAGATGATATTATTTTTATTTTCTAGGTTTTAGATTATTTTTAAGAAAAACAACTATTTTAACAATAAAAAAAAATAAAAAAATATTTTTTTTCTTTTTTAAGAAAAACATTTGTAAGAAAAACTAAGATAATCTTAAATCAAACAAATATTATTATTTTTATTTCCTATATTTTAGATTATTTTTAAGAAAAATAACAATTTTAACAATTTTAATATTATTATAATAAAAAAAATCAAACAGATATTATTAATTTTATTTTCTAGATTTTAGACTATTTTTCTTACCTATATCTTACCTTATCCTGTATTTTGCTCCTCTATTATATGTAATTATAGATTGTAGATATGTTTAGATTTATTAATGTATGTATATTTACAGTTTGCGCTTCTGGTCAGATGCTGACAGTGTTTCATTGGCTCTGCACATGTACTCTTCACAATGACAATAAAGTTGAATCAGAATCTGAATAGTTGACCTGTCAGTTGATTTCACCAAAAAACATACAACACACACAACACCAAACCAAAACCCTCCAGCACACACTGAAGTCCACCCAGACCCCATAACACCTGACACACACACACAGGGTTCCTGTAAACTGCTATGGGGAAGTTCACTGCAGTCCTGAAGGACAAGACTTGTTCCATGAATAAACACATCAGGAGACGCAGTATATCCCTCATGATGTACAAATCCAGCCGAAACCCTATAGAGCGATATACTGAGTTACACTGCCAGAGACCGTACCATTCTCTTAAATAAATAATAAATCATACCTCGACATAAAACATGGTTAATGGAAGCCAGACCCGATATAATACAGCGTATCCATTTCTAATGGGAGGAAATGTGCATCGTGCGGAAGATAATTGCTCCATAGTAATTACAAATCCACTGTGTGAAGCATTATAGGACTTGTGTTCGAGGCCATGCTGCATTTATTTACCTTTACACACCTGAAACACTGAAAACTTTCATTTTTAAAATATCTCTAGATAGATAGATGGATGGATGGATGGATAGACAGACAACAGATAGTTATATAGATAGGCTTGAAATAGCTCACTTTGCATGTAATGAGAAAGTGAGTAAATAATAAATAAATAAAAAAATATATTTATTTAATACAAATAAAAAAAAAATCAATAAAATATTCTATAATTATTATATAATAAAAAATAAATAAAATAATAAATACAAAAGTATATATATATATATATATACTTTTTGCAGAAATCATAAAACTTTTGACTGTTATTAAGCGAGAACATGCTGGGAAACACCACAGCCTTAATTCAAAATATCCTTTATATACCCCACTTTCCAATTTCTTCATTCAGTCGTGTGTGTGTGTTTGTGATAATGCATGAGTGATGTGGTTTGGATGAGTGTTGCAGATTCCCAGCATCAGTGCAAGCCCGTGTCTCTCTCCATCAGACAGTGTGTGGACCCCGGAGCCGGTTTTCATTTAGCTTGATGTATTCCTGCTCCTGCAACTTTAATGTGATTTGTGGGAGAATCCAGATGGTGGGTTCATGGATGGGTGCAGCTCGACGACAGTGGCGGTGCCAGAAGCCCTGGGTTCACAATAACACACCCAACACAACACACACACAATCCCCTCTTCTATTACTGAAACACCCCAGCACAGTGACTTCATTGCTCCTCTGCGAAAGTCTGTTTATTTCAATGACCCTGTTTAAATGTCTGGGAATCTTTAAAATAAAATAAAATAAAATAAAATAAAATAAAATAAAATAAAATAAAATAAAATAAAATAAAATAAAATAAAATAAAATAAAATAAAATAAAATTAAATGACTCTAAAATCAAAAGTAAAAACATTAAAATAAAATGTGTTTTAAGAAAATACCATGTTTGTAGGTTCATGAGATGTTTTAAATTGTGACACCAAGCCATTTTTCCTCTAAAACTTCTCCATGCACAGTAAATTCCCATTACTATTACCAGATGCACTTGTTTATTTATTAATGAATTATCTCTCTTAGTTGAGATTCGCGTTATACAATTTGTCTGATAATTTCAATAGTATATAATATTATGTATTAATAACATATCCAGGAAATTAGCTTAAGTGTTCCTATATTGTCAATACAGGCACCAAAAGTTGCTTCATTTTCTTTAAGGGAAATTATAATAATTTGAATATTAAAACTTCAAAAACGTCTTTTTTGCAAAGTTTCGTGAGTTTTAGTTGTTTATGAGATTTTCTATTTTGTTTAATTTTCACATGCATTACAGACAATGAAACTGGTCTTAACTGCATTAAGATTTTGTGTTTGTTTTTCAAGACAATTTTCTCCATTTTAATTATCATTACTATTACTCATTTGTTTGTTTATTTGTTTATCAATTATTTTTTTCTTAATTTTTATATAAATTTGTGAGATATTGGCTTAATTGTTGCAATTATTGCAATGTCACAAAGCAGGCATCTAAAATTGCTTAATTTTCTTTAAGCTATATATATATATATATATATATATTGAATATTTAACATTCATATTTCTTACTTTGATTTAGGGGTTACTATGTTATGAACTTTTTTTTTATTTTCTATTGTAATTTTCATGAGATTTACCTATTTATGAGATCCACCACCAATAGCATTTTACTTCAGAAAAAAAAAAAAAAATTGAAAAAAAAAATCTCTTTATTCAGACGTGGAAAGCGTCCTCATAGGAGACTAAAACAGTGTGTGATGAGCAATCAGGTGTGAACACACTAATGAGAGCCTGTAAATTCTGAGAAACACACATCCACACACACCGTCCACAAGGCAGCACGACAGCGCAGGAGTTTAATGGGCTAAAACTAAA